AAAAAAAACAAATCTTCAAGAATACCTTATGCCCAATCTATCAACAAATCTGTTTTTTAGTTGGCCTTTTTCAGGTGTGTGTGTGTGTATGTGTCTGTGTAAATGTCCTTTTTGCTGCTTCAAACACCTGGCACAGAAATGGCATTCACAAACTGCACATCTCTCAATACAACATGCTACTAAGCTTACTCCAGCATTTTTGTTTCAAATCAAATTAAATTGAATTATAACCATTTCATGGTTGACATGCATTGCCCTTTGCATCAGGCTAGAGAATAGTAGCAATGTTCATCCAGAGCTGCAGGACAAATGCTTTGTGAGCATGAGTCATGATACATTAACAAGCTAGAAGGAACCAAAAACATCAGAGTCAGGTAATCATAGAAATATGCTTCAATGAATACAACATGGATGAGGTAGCACTTATGGAAATGAACATGTTGTACATCATCCACTGCAGAGGTGGGTTGTTCCCAGTTTGGCCCAGATCGGGCAAACCAGTAGTAGCGGTGGCGGGAGGCTCCGCCCACCCGCCCGGACACTTCTGCGCATGCATAGAAGCATCGCCCCTGTGCAAGCATGCACAGGAGCACATCCGAAGAGGTAGTAAAAAAATTGGCAAGCCACCATTGATCCACTGTGCTTCTTCCAACATTCCAAACAGTACAAAAATTTGGACTCATACTTATGAAAGGACTATGGGAAAATAAGCAGCAACTAAAATAGCAGCAACTCTTGTGAAACAGCTGTGTTCTGCATCCTTTCCAGAACCCCCCCCCCAGATGTTAACAAAAAATCTCTAATCATATCTTTTTAAAATATAACATAAATTTAATTAAGAATATCTAAATGCATAGATGCAACTTCAGAAGATAGGGGCAATATTAATGTTACCAATAGCACTCATTTTGTAAAACAGTTTACTTTTTCTTTTTTCTTTTACTTTTTCATATTTACTTCACCATTGCATCAAACATCCCATTAGAATAACTGTACATACTTCTGTGGCATTCCATAACATTTTATTCTCTTTCATGCAGCTTCCACATTCTATTTTCTTCTAATTTTTCAATATATCATAAGCCATCAAGTAAACCATCATTTTAGATTTATATTCACACCTCTGTCATATTTTATGGCACTACTAAATTATAAGAATGTTTTTCAGACATATATCAAACCATAATAATTCTCACTCATGGTGGGCACTTTTCTATGCTTTCACCTTGTTCCAATACATCCATTCATGCCTTCTAGAAGAATATATTTCCCATGGATTATATTCATTTAGAATTTGGTACAAATTTCCTATAAAATCACGTTTGATTATCAAACATTCAATGGATTTCAAACAAAGCTATCTAGCCTTTAACCTAGTCCCCTTAACATTCTCTTTGAAAAACGGTATAGATGTAAGAAAGGGATATTTATAAGACTATGATGTTTTAAAGCAAAATTTGGATTCCTACATATTTTATAATACTATATTTATTTATTAGACTCCAGGCAGCTGAAAACAATAAAAATTAGGTGTAAAAGCTTTACAAAATTCAAACACAATTGCATTGATATAAACTACTATGCAGTACTGAGGTCACTCCAGGCGTGGGTTGCTGGAGTTGCAAACCCATGCTTGCGCCAGATGTGTGCTGTGCGTATGTGCACTGTTCACTGGAAATTGTTCTTCGTGCATGCGCAGAACAATTTACAGTGAACTGTGCATGTGTAGTCACTAAAAACCAAAATGGTGATAGCCCAGCGGCAGCAAGGGAACCAGTTCGGCGGCGTGGCAGGCCTGGGTTGCTGCCGGTTCTACGATTCAGGCCTGAATTCCACTACCAGTTCAGCCGAACTGGTCCGAACCGGGAGCAACCCAACTCTGGGTCTCTCCATTTGAAAAGTTCAATAAGTTTGAACTAGTTTTCTGACTAACATAAAATGGTTCCTTTCTGATCTTGGGAGATTATGTATCCCAAAGTGAGTGGGCTGCTGTTGAAAAGATTGTCCTGTAGGTCCCAGTCCCCTCTACTGAAAGGACATTATATTTTCAGCAAAAGGCCCTAAGGGTACCCAAGGCCACATAGATCTTTATAATCGTTAATCTTTATTGAATCATCTTGAATGAGTCCCAGAAGAGTATTGGCAATCAATGAAGCTCCTGCAAAATAGGTGCTTTGTATTTAAACCAGTTTTAGTCTATTCTAAATTCTATTGTTGGTGGCTCACACCATTATTTGTAAGAGTTTGCTGTGTAGATTTAGTATAGGCTTGTTGAGGCAAACAATTACATTACCTTTTAACAAAGCTGTCAAGATGGCCAGATCAATATCCTGGTGTCCTTCTGACCCCATACGAAATACTGTAATCTGAAATGAAAAAAAAAATTCACATGTGCAACTAAAATACAAATAGCTATTAAAACAATATGTAAAATTTGCAGAGTCTGAATTCAGAGATATTGGGAGCAAACAAAATTGGTTTATACCAATACAGGAAGATCGATTCATAATAAATAGCAAATATTAAAGATTTAATAGATCCAGATTCATCTTCCTGTTCAGATTTGCTATAGGAACCGTGGTGGCACGGTGGTTAGAGTGCAGTACTGCAGGCTACTTTTGCTGATCACTGGCTGCCAGCAGTTTGG